CACACAAAACTGGTCTACACCTGTAGCAGAACAGAAGTTCAGCACACATAGACTGGTTAAAAAATGGCAGAACCTGAGCTAAGATACACCCTGCCCACCAGAGGGCAAATGTCTGTTCTGTTTGCTACCAATATAAACTACACCACTTACAGAAAACTGCAGAACTTAGATTGGTTCCACCTCAGGCTTTTTTAATGTCTGTGCCTCACCTAGGTGTGCCACCTACATTGATAGTGTGGACATTACCAAACCATTCTCACAATGGTGATCTGGGGACTCAACCTGCAACCACCCCAGTATAGTGAAGAGATCTGAGGAGTACAGTGGGCATAGCTAAGGCAACAGAAGAAGACAACAGCCATGTCACCAGGTTTTGTTGAAAAGCATCCATGTCACCAGGTTTTGTTGAAAAGCAGTGTTAGAGTTCTTATGCTGGGTCAGGATCCCATGAGTGTATGGCCATTCATTTTCTTTCCCTTTCCATGTTCAAGCTAGAAACAAAACAGCTAACTGCGTGCACATGATCAGATTCCACTTATAGCTCTGATTAAGGACGGTAATTTGGGTCATCATACAGGAAGTAACTCCTAGGTCATATCATAATTTTTTTGTGTGTGAGATATCTTTTGATAACCCATATTTGAAGGAGATACAATCACACCTTTATTAATCCTATTTCAAATAAGTTCAAAAAAGTACAAAATGTTTACATTTACAAGATGTAAATACCCTGTTAATAAAGAGTTCTGTACATGCTCCTTTATTTGTCTTAGTCTTTTAGGCTTCTGGGTCTCACAGAATGGACCCTTTCTAGCTCACCAACAGCCCCTGGTTTAAGAGGATACAGACACTTTTCCTTCTGCCTCATTTTTTTAATGATTCCAGTACGACATTTATGCCCAGCTTCTGTATTGTGATGCAAAGGCTCATAAAACAGTTCCTTCCTCCTTTTAGAATGTGTGCATACAATATCCCATACTGACTTTCTACATGTGGAATGAGAATATTGCTTCCATACTACTCACACTTGAAATGGCCACATATCATCTCTTGATCCCTTGCACTGCTGGTGTATAACTGTTTTACACAAGCACATTTACTAATTTCCTGAGTTTTGCTACAGTGATATTTGGAAAAGCATATACTTATGCTTATATTTTGTTGAATAAGAAAATACATTTATTTAGATCGGGGTGGGCAATTATTTCGGGCACAGGGCCGCTTACCGAGTTTTGGCAAGCTACCGAGGGCCATGTGGGTAGCTCTGGCCCTTGACAGGTGCCCTGCCCCCTGTTCGCCATCTTGGGACTGGATGTCCCACCCCCTAACTCCCGACCTTTGCCACCAGAAGTCCCTCCCTTTGTCCCCAGAGGTACTCCTTTCAGCAAGGGGTTTTGCCATCTCGGAACCAGAAAAATACCAAATAATATTCTAAAAAATGTAAAAAGTGAACATCTAAAACATAAATATTTTTGTCCTAGTTTACATGTGTTTGTGTAGTGTACATAGAGGTGATTGTTTATAATAGCTTAAAATGAAATCTTACTCTTGTATATTGTTGGGGGATGGGTATAGGATGGGGGGTTGTGGGTAGTGGGTATATCGGGTGTGGGTGTGTCTGTGGGGGGTGGATAAGCTGTGGGTGTGAGGTGAAGGAGCATGTGGATGTGTGTGGATATGTGGGGTGTGACTGGGTATGTGGTTTGTGGGGGGTAGTGTGGAGGGGAAGGTCGCTGGGGTGTGTGAAGGGCTGTGGGTGTGGGAGTCTGCATGTATAGCAGTGCAAGGGGGGGTGTAGGTGTATATGTATGGTGGGGTGTGCATGTGGGGCTCCCCCTATGAACACACACACACACACACACACACACACACACACACACACATAGAGTCCCTCCCTATACACACACCCACAGTTCCTCCCTACACACATACACAGAGTCCCTCCCCAAACACACACCCACAGAGTCCCTCCCTACTCACTCACACACACCCACAGTCCCTCTCTACACCCACCCACACACACCCACACAGTCCCTCCCTACACCCACACATAGACACACACAGAGTCCCTCCCTACTCACACAGAGTTCCTCCTTACACACACACACACACACACACACACACCAGGGTAGCCCCATGCTCCCAGTCCAGCGATGCACCCAGGAGCCATGTGGTGCTGGAGCAATGCCAGGGCAGGAAGGCAGGGAAATGACTTGGGGTGGGACAGGGCTGGAGTCCTGCCTCCTGTTACATGCTCCCCCTGGGTCCTACTGCCCCTGGTTTCTGTTGTCTTTGACATGCAGCCAGGAGCAGATAAATATTTTCTAAATTTTTTTGGTGGTCCCATAGACTGGATAGAGTGGCCTGGCGGGCCGAATCCAGCCCGCAGGCTATATTTTGCCCACTCCTGATTTAAATGATACATATGCCCCTCCTTCACATGTGGAGTTGCTATAAATACATGCATTGTAAAGATGGCAACTAATAATGTACTATTATTTAATTGTTTGTACTGCAGTTATGCCCAAAAGCCTCTATGTGGACCCAGCTGTGCCAGGTACTCTTTATACGCTCAGGAGACAGTTCCTGCCCTGAAAAGTTTCCAGTCTAAAGAGACAAGACACACAAAGAAAGTCTTATCACAGTTCATAGAGGAGGACTCAAGGCCCAGAGAGATTAAATGATTTAGCCAAAAACTGAACCCAGGTCTCATGAGTCAGTCCAGTGCATGAGCTATGATAGCAGCATTCCACTTGCAAACAGCCACCATGTCTATCTGTTACAATTGTTTGCTAGGATCAGGAGTAGCACTGATTTCTTCTGAATGGGGACAGTGCTACAAGATGAATGTTTTCTTATATAGACATACCCACAGCACACCTGGGCTTCTGGGAATAATATTTCTTCAGCCATAGAAACACAGACCTCAGCTTCTTGAACTAAAGTTCTTTCTTAGCAGATAGTTTTTCTAATAACTCTCAGTTAACAGCGATACCGTTCTTATCCTTTTTGAAGACCGCCCACTGAAGGACAGCACATACAGAGAGGGTGCATTAAATGAACAAGAAGGAAATGTTTTTTCTATGAGGCTAAATTCATTTCTTGAGTCTTTTTACAAATTTGTTCAAACCTTGTCATGCTTCATTAAGTAGGACCATCACACAAATATATGGACTTCCTTTTTCAATTTAGCGTTCATTTGGTAGCTGGACATATAAAGGACCTACACATATTGCATGTTCAGACCTAAACAGTTCAGCAGAAAGTGCCAGTATAAAAGCACCATTCATTAAAATCTGGGTTTGATCTGTTGTGGTTTAATTATTTTTAACATTGGTCGACTAAGACCTTCTATACCATTTAAGCCATACATAAATTGGGGATGGTCCTGCTTTGAGCAAGGGGTTGGATTAGATGATCTCCGCAGGGTCCTTCCAACCCTAATTTTCTGTGGTGCTATGATAAGCCTTATGTTAAATTCAGACTTGCTCTAAAACTTTATTTTAGAAAATGGTACTTTCATAATCCACTGGTCTTCCTGCCCCATTTCTGACTTTCGTGAGCTCTGAAGAACCAGTGTAGCTAGAAGATTGAAACTGGATTATAATCTATTTAGTAATCTGTTTTACTTGCCTTATCTCACTGAATATAATGCAACTACAGGTATGTTATGGAAGAAATCATTTGGCCTAAAAGAAGCTTTATTATCCCTGGACACATCTACACAAGACATTTACTGCACAGTTGACTAATTAACTGCACAGTAAATGTCTCAGCATCTACATGTTCGCTCCTATTAGGGCACACATAAATAATAAACTGCGCAGCAGTGTAGGATTTATATTTAAATAAAAGTCCTACCCTTTTGAGAAGCTTTTTTGGGCGCAGCAGCACATGTGTAGACTCTGAGCTGGCTCGATGGGACACAAGGACGTTTCAGTTTGCGGGCTGCCTGCCAACTAACTCTGCGCTGAAGCACCCTTGTACCACAGCACATTAACCCTGGTCGGAGCAGCCCTGGGCTGGCAGGCTGACCCATTGGCCTCCTGCCAGCCAGGGCTGCTGCGATCCAGCTCAGTGTGCTGCAGTCTGAGTGCATGTGTAAACTGCACGCCCGGGAGCTTCCTGGGAACAGTAAACTGTGGAGCAATAAGCTCCGCAGTTTATTGCTGCTCATTAATGGCACGTGTAGATGTGCCCACTGATGCCATGAAACAAAATACAATTCTAACATCAGATCTTAACTTGATTTTGCAGGGCTCAATTAATTATTTCTTGTCAATTGAACCTGATGGATAAGCAAGAAACCAAGAGATAAAAAACAAGAAACCCTACAGTGCCTTTTTTTACAGACTAGATTTTTGTTCCACATACCAGTTTATAAGCATTTTTTCTAGAACAGAAATGCATTTAGCCTTTCCTAAATACTTGGGCAGGCACCGCACAGCACTGAATTTTACAATAAGCTTTCAATCTACTCTTCCATAAACTACATATGACTTATACAAGGTGAAGGCTCATTTATATGAACAGAATCATGTTGGTTACACCCCTTACAGTGTTCATAGCTCAAAAAAGAAACAACACAGTGGGTTAAGGTGGGGGAGGGGGAAATATACTGATCTAGGATCTTGGAGTGATTCAAAGTTGAATGCCTGTACACATGCTAGACTGCTCTGCGTTATATTATAGCATAATTTGCAGTATATAAGAACCTGACGAATAGTAATCCAGACTGCCGAATCCTACTTGTACAAAGTTACTACATTTTACATTTGCTAATAAACAGAGATGAATTTTGGAATAGAACAGTACAGATCTTATCAGGAATGGGAGGTATGTAACTATTTGAAAATGATACTTAATTCTGAAAAAAATACCAACCAAACAGAAAAACCCTCTAATTATACTTTATTTTAGGTAAGAATTCCTAAAGGATTTTGGCAACCTTTTAAGTCCCCTTAAAATTCCCAATCCATTAGTACCTTAGTTTAACTTACTTGTTCAGATGTTCAAAGAGGATCTTCATTGTGTCATGGTTTGGTTTAGGGAGTTTCTTTACAAGACCCGTTATGGATTTAACACGAATGGTGTTGTTTTGGTTTTCTGAAGGAAAACAGAAATAGAAAAAAGTTATAGGACTTGAGTTCACTTCAGGATATCACTTGCCTAATGTTATATCAAATATCAGAGCATCAAGAGCTTAATTTAGATGCTATGGTTAAAATGTGGTTACAATGTACCTATATTAGAACATCTCTCACCTTCTGCCATATTCATGGACAGTCTATATAATAGTTTGAAAGGGATTGCAAGATCTTTCTAAGGGTTTAGCAGGCATCTTCTGGTCCAGATAATCAACTTTTTATCCTATCCTCTGGACTACTAGATTAACACAAATACAAACATGACAGAGCTCACATACCTTTAAAAAGTACATGGCCCTCTTATAAAGTGGTATTTCACTTTGGAATTTCACTGCATCAGCAATCCAAATCTGCCATGGACACTACATTAAATCAAGATATCCCATAGTCTTTACTACCTCTGTATGTTTTTTTCCCCTCGTGTAACCCCAGCAGCTGTGATGCTTCTCTTATGCCCTGGTATCTCTATATCATGCTTGCAGTCTATAAAGCTATATATGTTAATTCAATATTTTTTTCTTCTAGCAATCTGCTCTTTGCTACAAACAATTCCATTTTTAATCCATTGCCTAGTATCAGTTGTACCTATCCTAGCATTTAACTAACTTTTTGTGTGAACAGTTCATGTTGCAAATATACAAGTAACAAAAGAATGAGGGACCAAGGCCACTTTTGTCCTGAGAAATCTATTTGATAGTATGACAAGTATGTTACTGTTGCCTTGGTAAGGATAAATCTTATAATTTTTAAATTATTCATAGTTGCAGAGGCATCGAGTTTGTAATATTGCTTATGACTGTGATTTTTGCATCTATTTGTATGAGATGTTACCTCTTAAGCAAAGATACACACACACACACATATATATATATATAAATGGCTTTCATGTAGTAACAGATTAGATAAAGTCCCAGTAGGTCTGATTTAGAGAAGACATCTTGCATGTTATACACCCTAGATAACCTGAGAATTCTTTTCTGATTTTATCATCTATGATTTAATTATCACCTATCGTTCTTAGTATATTTTAATATTCAATATTCATATTGCTGTAGCTCCCAGAGACCTCACTCAAGACTGAGTTCCAACTGTGTTAGGTGCTGCACACATATAAGATGACACAGTCTCTACTAGAGGTCTTATAGAAGCAATTTATATCAAACACACATTTCATCATTTACACTGAGTTTAATTGTAAACCTTGTTCAAAGGAAGCTTTAGTCTTTACTCAGCACAAATCCCTATCTCCCTTTTCTATTAGTATTTGTTACATATATTTAGAAAAGACTAGGCCTCAGATTAATCAATCACACACAGTCTTTTATTCCTTGTGAAAATATTTCACATGAATTTAGGTCCAGGGAAAGTTTTGAGATTGACAATCTTAATGAATGATAATCTTAAAGAATAAAGCTATTCAGAGAACAGATATAAGTGTGGGGGACAGAAGAATGATATTCTATATTGTACTGTCCCTGAATTTTGACTATGATTTGTAGGACCCTAACTGTGCAGCACCTTATATTATATAGCTGCAAAGCCCAGACAGTCTTTGGCCTCTGCTAAGAGTGCTTACATAGGTGCCAGTAGTGGTGATCATTTTGTCACATGAACACCCTATGATTGAGGCAACTAATTGAAATGGTATAAAATTATAACAGGGTTATTTTCAGGTGATATCACTCAGCAGGATATTCAATTTTATGCAAGAGTTCATCGGTCTTGAGAGCTGTACCCAATTAGCTCAGGTTGAGAAAAAAATCAACAGCAGAGGAAAGAAAAAAATGAAGCCACAGGACAAGATCCTTATTCCAGCAGTTGGGTGTCTAAGTGGTCTTATGTGCCTAAATGTGATTCTGTGCCATCCTGTTCAAGTCCCTAAAAATCCACTACTTTCATAACAGACTGCTATCTTAGCCTTAAGTTTTAGAACAAAAAAGCAGTGAGAAGAAGAGGGCCTCACCTTTCTTTTATTAACAGTCTTTCAGGGATGTAATCACAGTGGAATAGGATCATACTTCGGTGCCTAAGTCCACTTATGAACTTAATAGCTGGAACAGAATCTGACTGTCAGTACTTGCCATTATCAAGTTCAGACTACTTCAGGGGGAATGCCATATAGTAATCACTTAGTGGTCACTGGTATTGGCTGAGAAAGTTCCTCTCCCCTACATTGATTTGCATGGATATCAGCGTGGTGTCCACCTTCTACCCCAGAAGTGGCTGCATTTCAGAGATCATGGACATGATTTCCGTAAGGATACAATATATAAGACACACAGCCATTGAAATGCAAGAAAATAATACAAGATACCAAATTCATTTTGAAAATCTTGCATCCTCTCTTTATTAAGGTAGATTCTGTCTCCTTTACTAAGTAGCTAATCACAGATGTGGCCAATGGCTTGCAGGACAAGATATAGTTAACTGAAGGCTAACACAGAACAATCCTAGGAGAAATTGTGCATAAAATTATTTTATGAATCAGCCTGTTTGTTAATTGTTAGCCTATTGTAAAAGAAGAAAAACAGGCAACATGTGGTAACTTTAGTCAGCATTTCTGAACTGGGAATGATAAACACCTCTGCCTAGCTCTGGCATTTATCAGTACTGAGATATTATTACCACATAGAGTCACAGCATGGTTACTGTTATCATCGAAAAAAAAAGAGCCAGCTAATCTTAATGGTTTGTAAAGCCGTTACCTGCACTGGTCTGACATTTATCATGATCATTTTACCACATGAGTCCTACATTGCAAAGGTATTTTATCTGGAAGGGACATCACTATGAATTATTATTTGCAGCTAGGTAGAAAATTGTATGTTGTAGATACCTTTTCTCATTATAAATCACAGTCACATTTCACCATTTCCCACACAAAGCTGCTGAGCCTAGGCTTTTTGCCATAACGCTTATTCTCTCTCCCTTTTATAGTTCCATGAGAATATTGGGTTCTCTTTCATTAAAATGCTTGATACTGTTTTTTTTTAAAAATGCTACATATGCTTGAAATATTTTACTTTAGAATGGTTCAAAAGAAAGTGTTCTTCCACTTTACAAACTGAAGTTGATAAACTGTTTCTTTTTTTAAGGCTTGTTCAGCTCCTATCCTAGTGGCCAGGCTTGTCTTCTGCTCTTTATCCTTTCCATAGAATATTTAACAGTGGATCAGATACAAGTTCTTATACATGATTTGAAATATCTATGCTCTCTTTTTTCCTCAGTTCCCTGAATTCCACTTTTAAAGACATTGGGTATTCTTCCTCCAGTTGCCTAAGTGGGAGGATTTTTCATGGATGCCTCTTTATCAAGTTAAAGAGAAGGGGGAGGCAATTCTCACTGGAAGATTTGTGTAAAGAGTCATTGAGGAAGTATCACCAACTATGTGTTTCCTAATGAAGTCCATTAATATACAGTGTAAAGGAAAGGAACACATTTTGTCTGTATTGTACTCTTTGTAAACCCTAAAGCTAAGTCCAGAAAATGAAATAGATTAATTGTAATATTTTAAAATAAGAAAAGGATCCTTGTTAATCACAAGAATGAATAAAAATCCTTGGAAATTTAGATATTCTTTTGTCTAAATTGATTCACTAGGAATAAATTAATCAGCAAACCCACATAGCTAAGAAAAAGGGAGAGGATATTTTAGTCCCTGCATTTTGGGAGAAATAAGGAAGGAATACGTAACAACTGCAGCAAGTTGAGAGAGTTTCAAGTACTGCAGCTGGTACTTCATGTAATATTTTGATAATACATATATTTAGAATGTGGGTTATGGTATTTAAATATAGGGTAATAGAGCAAGACTGTAGCAATAAGCTCTTGTTTATAGTGAAAAATGAATAAAAAAGCTAAAAGCATTTAATATTATATACTTTTTTTTGTATATGAGCTTTGGATAAACATTGAAACATATTAGAAAACATGAGGCATCTGTAACGTTAACAGTGGTTGGGTGAAAATGAATGAAGAAAGCAATCTTTAGCTCTCGTGTCCATATAGAATACTTGAATAAAGCCCACTGAATCTTTCTTTTAATCATTAATTTTAAATGGACAGAGATGTTTATAATGAGCCACTTTGTTTTAGAACAGGAAGCTCAAGGTTTATCTCCAATAACTTACATTTGCTAGGAAGGGATGTATGTCTCTAACCTGACATGCGTTCATTATTTTGCAAGGTACTGGAGTCTGACCTTTGACCCTCCTCAGACCTGCTGCATTATTCATGCCTGACTGACTTTGTCTAGTTTTACTACAGTACCCATTTCCCTTTACCGGAGTTTCAGTTACTTGTGCATGTTTAATGTTAAACTGGCAGTTATGGCTCACATTAATGCTTAATTTTATCTCAAGCCATTGGTCTCTTTTTTTTTCTTCTGCTAAGTGTTGTGTTGCTGGAAAAAAAAAAGAAATTAAACTATGCTATATGATTCTGCATATTATATTGACTTATTGAGCTGTCATCTACTCCAAGATTTAAAAAAAAAAAATGGTTTTCTTCCTGGTTTGGTTATATTGCTCTTCTCACCACTTCTATGTAAGCTTTATTCTGTGTTCAAAACATCACACACTGTTGCAACAGCAGATTCTATGTCCCAAGAGTATTTTCCACAATTCATGATACAGTCAACTGTTAGAGGGCTTTTTTGTGGGGTGTTTTGTTTGTTTATGTGTTTCCTTTTAAAGAGAACTGAGAGGTTTAGGTGGATTTCTGAGTGCTAATGAAACTGCGAGACTTATGGTGCTGGCTACAGCCAGCCATAGTGTGGGCAGACGCTCTGTGAGCTTCCCCACTGTGCTGCTGTGCAAGCATCCCTGCTGTTATGTTTGCTATAGTTTTAATGTCTGTGAAAAATTCCTGATGCAACTAAATTATGTTATGCACTCTTGTTTATGTAAATAAAACACCCGATTTAGCCAATTTGTTTTGCCCCTGCCCATTTTAGAAGCT